CTCATGGTGGACATCTCCTAGGGAATGGTGCAGCTCAGCAGATCCACACCTGGATGAAGAGAACATTCTCTTTCAAATTAGCTGTATACAACTCCTAATAGCCAATTTAATTTTTTTTCTGCTTTTATTCTTATAATATCTAAGAATATCCTGTAGTATTTTTAATCAAGTAAAGATTATCCAATTCAACATTCAAATGTTTTAGCAAGAAATAGAGTCATTTAGTTTATATAGTCATCACTGACAGATTGTTTGCAACAGCCGAAGTAGCTGGTAAACAATACATTGTATGTAAATACTTGATGACAAACTTAAAAAAGTTAGCAACCCCCAAGAAACCCTTGAATTATTTTGGATTATTTTTTTTTGGGGGGGGTGCGGGTGCCAATACCGGGGAATGAACTCAGGGGCACTCAACCACTAAGCCTCATCCCCAGTGCTATTTTGTATTTTATTTAGAGACAGGGGTCTCACTGAGTTGCTTAGCGCCTCACTTTTGCTAACTAAGGCTGGCTTTGAACTTGTGATCCTCCTGCCTCAGCCTCCTGGGCCGCTGGGAATACAGGCATGTGCCACTGTGCCTGGTGAATTATTTTGGCTTTTTAAGAAAGCAGGTGTTATCTATTTCACTGAGCACCTTTGGAAACTTCAAGCAACTTTTTTGTTTGCAAAAGTTTCACAGACTTGATTTGTTAAAGACCTGCAGTATTGGCTTAAAACTGGAAAGGACAATTGCATTCTAAATAAATTCAAAGTGCACTTGGGAAAATTATGCTTCCAAGCCACACATACCCACAAAGGGAAAATATCAGTATAATCTACCACTGAAAGAGGAATGACAAATGGAAAGTCAATAGTGTAACCTTTAGGTAGGTGGCCGCTTGATGCATTTTGGGAATGATATGCATTTGACTGTAAATGGCAATAAACAATACGGAGCAGTCTCTGTTGCATGATTGGATGTCATTTTCCAGGTCTAATTCGTCTGCAAGAGCTCATCAAAGCTCCCTCCAGATACAACATTAAAATCAAAATCCGCCAGCTGCCCTCTGGGAATAAGGATGCCAAGCCTTTACTCAAGGAGATGAAGAAGGGCAAGGAGTTCTATGTGATATTTGATTGTTCACATGAAACAGCTGCTGAAATTCTTAAGCAGGTAAGAACACTAGGGAAGAGGTGGGAAGTGTGGGGGAAATGTTATTTTCTCTTTCTCAAGAGTGCCATCTGGTTTTCGTTTGGTGTGGCATGATAACACTGTGACTGTCCAGTAGAGGCTAAAGATTGCAATTTTAAGAAGCCTTTAAAGAGCCAAGGGGCTCCGGAAGTTCAACAAAGCCACCTGTAGGTTTTCATTGTAGATGTGTATTCCCCTGTGTATATTACGTGGTATGTGAATCCTGCCAGCCAGGAAAGGGAGGGAAAGAGAAGGGTGGCATTTCAAGAAACATCTCTTTTCTTTATGTGTCTTGAAAAGACTGGGCCAGCTATCATTTACATGATGCCCGACTCATCCTACATGTATTCCTTATGGCAAGATCTCTGTGTTCAATGTGCTGGATTACAAACACAATAAGAAAGGGGGCAGGGACAATCACAGAAAAGATACTTCTCTTTTCTAATTTGTTATAGACAATAATTGCTATCCCTTAATCTCCACAGATAACGTGGGTGGAAATGTTGAGTACATTGTGCTATCCTGCATAGATGAAAGATAGTAGTGATGTTCAGTAGCATAATAATGACGATAAGAGTAATAATTTCTAAGCACTTAGTCATAAAGTCAAGAATAAAAATTCAGAATTAGAAAAAAAAGATAAAGCATAGACTACTACCAAGTCTCACTCCAAAGTGATTTTGTTCCTCAAGGGCAAGCAGCAATGTCTGGAGACATTTGTGATTATCATATTTGGGATTGGGGCACTTTACTGACAACTAGTTGGTAGTGGCTGGGGATACTGCTAAACAACTTGTACATCTGAAAAGGTTAGTCAAATTTTAAAATAGAAGCAGCAATAAAAAAAAATCAGGGGATAAAACTTGGAGAAAGTCAGAAAAAATAACTAGATACTATTCATGTGGTCTCCTAGGTATCTATTTATATTTAAATGGTTATTGTCACAAAATCCAATGCAGTCATCTAAAATAATACAAGTTATTATGTTTCTCGGTTTGAAAGGTCTGAGGTTGCTATAAGGTCAATTGGTAAAGAACAGTGATTTCATAGGTAGACCAACTCCTTCATGCAAATACAGAACTGTGGATTCCTGAATCACTAGGAAGAGTCCTCTTTGGATGGTCATCTGTTCCGACTCTGTAGTGCTCTATCTCATACTTGCAGAGCACGTTTCTGTAACCGTAGAGTTCAGAATCAAGGTTTTTATTCCACTGAAAATACACAATCAAGAAAGTCAACCAGATGTTTCTAGTATCTACTGGATGATTACACACAAAAAAAATTCCACTAAGAATCTGCTATAGTTTGGATAAGGTTTGCAGTGTCAAAGTTCCAAGTATGTAAGTTTAGTGCTCAGTACAGTGGTGTTGAGGTGGTGGAAAATTTAAGATGTAGGTTCTAGTGCAAGGTGGGGTAGGCCATTGGGCTTCCCCCCTCAGAGGGATTAATGTACTTCTCATGGCACCCTGGCTAGTTCTCATGAGAGCACTCTGGCTCCTGAGTCTCCCTGGTTTCCTGTCTCACCCAGTGATCTGCCCATGCACACCCAGCATTGTGATGCCACCTGCCATTAGATCCTCCTCTGAGGCCAAAACGAATGAGGCTAACTAATGTCACACTTTCAGCCTCCAAAACTATGTGCTGAATAAATCTCTTCTCTTTTAAGATAGCCTCGGGTATTTAATATCAACAGAAAGTAGACTAATCCAGGGTCATAGAACATATTTTAAATTAAACTTGAATACCACCCCAAGACAAACGTTGCTGTAGCTAGTCCTCATACTTTGCAAGAAGCAAAAAGACTTCTCCAGAGTCACACATCCAGTAACTTCACCCCCCCCCCATAAACTCTTATCCCTCCAATAAGGCAAAAGAATACCTGTTACTTACTTCTAGATTATAATTGCATTAACAAATCTTTAGTATTATAATTATCTCTCAGAAAAGGAAGCAACTATGTTGCAAAGATGTCAATAACTAAAAAAACTTTGAAGGTAAATAAATACAATCAACAACCCTTTATCTTACAGCTTCATTTGGAAATTTTAATATAAATCATTAAAGTGTGTAATGGTGTGTGGATCAGAATGAGAAAAACACCCAGATTTTACATGTAGCCCTCAAAATGCAAACAAACATTCCTTCCCAGGAGCCCTTTTGAACAGAAACTGGGGACTTCTGTTGCATTAGAGAGAATGGTTTACTAATGACATTTCTTTCTGTTAGGCACCCATTTGGCTCACATAAGAGGCCACATCTCTCCCAAAAGGAGGCCTGGAATAGGATAGCAAAGTGCAGGGTGGGCTTGGAGAAGGGCGGCTTGCCTTTCCCCTGTGTTTTTCATAAGCAGGAACATGAAATCCCTCTGATAGAAGTAGCTCTATGAATTGTATTGTTCAAAGAACAATTAAAATAAAAACAAAAGCAAAACCTCTAACAGAAGTACCCTCAAGAACTGTCTTGTGGAGGTATTAGGATCAGTTCAGCTTTGCAGGAGCCATTGACAGGAACACTTTTGTGTCCATCCAGTGTCTTGTGTTTTATCCTGTTTTTACTTTCCCTAATTATATTAGCAGCAAGACTGTCCATGAGGTTTCATGGATGGGGTAAAACAGACTGCTCATCCAGTTTTTGTTTTAGATTAGCGACCTGCAAATAATTTTGAGGGAAGAGGCTTTGCAAAATGTTCCATTATGTATTGTTCCTCTGTATTGCATGTGAAAATGCAATTGCTACTTTTGAAATAAATAACTGAGAAGACCTAGGTTGGCTTAACAGAGCTTCATTTGAAACTCCAGAGGCGGTTGTGCTTGCAAAATAATATTGAACACCTCAAGACTTTCTATTCTGGTAAAAATGAGCCCCAAGCACTCTGTGTGATGCAATTTAACTTGCTCCATTAGCCCAGGGCAATAACCTGTAGAAATAAAGTCAGAGACCTTTCTGTAGCTGACATCTAATTGATTCTCTCAGGAGCCTGAAGCCTCAGGAGTTCTGGGTCCTGATTCTGGCACTGCTCTATCAATCTTTCTACCTAAGGAAAGAAAAGGAAGGAAGGAGACTTACCTCTTTTACTGAGTACCTTCCCAGGCTCTGGCAATAATGGTGTCTGGCATCGTACACCATGCAATCTTAAATGACCCACTGAGAATGTTCCGTATGCCCACTGCAGCACTAAGGCGACCAGCTCAAATATGTTAAGTGGTTGTTAAGGTTTGGATGTGATTTTTTTTTCCTATAAAGCTCACATGTCCAGGCAACTCAGCCATAGGCAGAGGTAAAGAGATCAGATTCATAGAGCTGTAACCTCAACAGTGGATTAAGCCATTTGATGGATTAATAATTTGACTGAACTAGCGAGTGACAACTGTGTGGCAGCACTGTGTGGTTGAAGAGGTGGGTCACTGGAGGGTGGCCTTGGGGACTTATACTTGTCCCTGGTTAATCTCTTATCCTTTGCTTCCCAGATGCCAGGAGCTGGCAGCCTTCAGCAATTACATTCTACCTAATTTTAGGCCCATAGAAATGGAGTTGGACAACCATGGACTGAGATCTCTGAAACCCTGAGCAAAAAAAAAAAAAAAAAGTTTTCTTTCTTTAAGTTGTTCTTGTCAGGTGTTTTGGTCACTGCAACAAAAAACTGGTGAACACAGTGGTTCATCCAAGATCACTCTCGGAGGAGCCGGGCTGCCGTACTGTCTCCAGGCAGCCTGATCTCAGAGCCTGTACGTTCTCTTCGACACAAAGGGCTCTTGATCAGAATGGACAACCATTCTGAAGTAAGCTGCCAGAAATATCTGGGGCGGGGGGACCACCAACTTTATACGAGGCATCCTTTAGAAGAGGTTGGTATTAATAGCTTCTATTGTCCTTGCGCTCTCACTGCTGAGAGCCATTTTCTTTGCCGGCTCAACTTGGCTTTCTCCTCCTGTGTGTCTCCCATCGCTGCCCTGCACTCCCCGCACCTTCATCACATTTTTCCACTTTTTAATGATCCTTAAGGAAAAAAAAAATAATAGATTAAATGCACTTTAGAGAAGATATTTGACATTTATCTAAAAGTAAAAAAAAAAAATAGAGAAAAGTCTATAGTTATTCTTGTGCATGCTAATCACTCTGGCAAAGCAATTATTTCTATTCATATTAAACAAGTACTATATGATGAGAATCTGAAAAGTTATTTCCCCAAAATTCATTCGAAATTCAAATGTCAAGACTTGATTAGGCGACAGAGGAGCAGAGCTTTTTGTATGTCATGTAAATTTCTGGAGTCAGAGGGTACACAACCTGGCATCTTACGCTATGATGGCATGCAATCGTAGCAGTAGGTCACCTGGTCTCCTCTTTCTTTCTTCTTCCCTCATCACCTCCAAGCAGGGTCCTGAGCTATCCTGAACCAGCGTCCACATGAAAACACCTCACTTCTAATTTCCCCAGACCCCACTTTCCTCCTATGGACACTTCACTGCTCATTATATATACACTCTTTTACAGTGAGTCCAAATCCACTGGTTTATTGGAAATGAGCTTAAAGAATGGAGGAAAAATAGGAAGGTTCTACACAAGAAACTCAGAACTCATGTCTAGCTTGGGGTTGAGTGCCAAGCAACCGGTTGTCTCATTGAACCAATGCAATACCATTGACATAGCTGATGTTATTTTCTCTTTGGCAACTACAATTTGAAGCTCAGAAATCATAATAATTTTATCGACTATGTACTGAGCATGCTCATAACACAGAATACCTCAAGACCTGATCCTACCACTCTCTAGCCTTCTGGCCAGCCTCCAGCTTCCTGTGCTCCGCCTCAGGGGTGTCCTGCCTCATCTTGTCATATACCCTCCTTTTAACACATCACAGCTTCTGTGCTTATGGTTGCCAAAGACTAGGATACTCATTCTACCTCAAGGTTGGCCTTATCTAAATATTCCTGAATATTTCTTGAATGATAAAAGGATTTTTGCATTCCCTAGGTCCCTAC